TTCTTAACTTGAGAGCATTGTCGGAGGTCTTTAGCGCACGTGCAGCGTACCTAATATGGAGTCCATGCTTGGTCTTGATCAGCTAGTCTCGTCCCAATAACGCATAATACTCGTAAACTTATTTTCAGTAAAGTCAGTCATGCTCCTTGTTGTTTCTTTACATCACATTCTTCCACAATGTATCAAAAGTTATGAGGTGAATTGCGACAGGCCTTTGATGATGATTACGGTTTGAGGGTGGTTCAACATCTAAGGCCATTGGCGCCCGTGTCGAATTATCTTAAGAACGTGCTTGCACTGTGACAGCACTAAGCTACATTTTTAAAACGCAAAGGAAAGGTGCATAAAGAAAACAATATATATTCTCTAGCAAAAATGAAAGATTTAGCACAAAAGGCGCCAGATGAACACAAAAATTTGATATGTAAAAGCCATATTAATTCTCACTATCTTCCTGATTCAGATTAAGCTCTAAAGTCACTTTTCCCGTAGAAAGCTAAAAGCTTACGAAGAGAGGCTTCGTCATTTCGGAGGATCTCTCCTAGAGATGCGGCAAAGCCATGCCTTCGATGGCTGTCACTAACCTTACACAGTGGAGAAGAGCATGATCCATTGTAAGATCTGTTCTGCAGTAAAAACGCAAGTTGGGGTGGATATACAAGTGAGGGAAATGGCATGTTTTATAAACTTCTTTACTCTCGTGAGCTTAAAATCTGAGTGTCACTTTTTTTGCCGTGTATTGAGCAACAAAGTTTGATAAAGTGCTTACTTTTGTCTATAGGCACTGTAAGGATGTCTACCTCGTTTCCTCGTGGGAAAATTTGCTTTATGGTCAGTTATTTGGTTTTCTATTATTCCGCGAGACCAGGGTCTCAACAAAGAATAAAATTGTAAAGTTGCTGCATTAGTTGAATTTTATGCTGGATTTTCATTGTTAAGGGGTCACAAGAAGAGAACGTGAATGGATTCGAGAGCACTTTTGGAATTACTGCACATTACTACTTTACGAAATGACTCCAAGTGAATGCCTCCAATATTTCTCTGTAATATACAGTTTACAAGTTCACTCCACGAAGAGTCAATACGAAAGATGCGCGTGGTACTAGGACAGGAGAAGGCACATCATAATTTGCCATTTTGTAAGGAACCATCAGTGTACACGAGGATGAGGCATGAGTACATGGCTATTACCTCCCGAAATTGTTTTAAATATACGCTAGAGTTGTTTAAGGGAGGCTGGACAGTCTGAGGTCTATTACGGGCTGGAGAAGTTTCCAAGGGGAAATAGAACTCCGAGGGGAGGAATACGTTGAGTTTGTGTGAAAGAGTGTAGAAACGGATACCCAGGGGATGGGGTAGGAGTTGTCTGAGTAAATAAATGTGTAATGACTTGGGTTGAAGACTGCTTGGCGTGAGGGCGCTGATAGTTTCACAGCCTCAGCCAAGAGGCATTCGATGCGGCTCGTGTGGTAGGCGCCCTGTGCAGATACTTACGCCAGCATCGTAGATGGTATTCAACGGTCAGAGCGGAGTCGCTGATCCATGAACAATACTAGTAGAAACTATGGATGAATGACGATCCTGTATAACCGCAAGAGACATTTATGGAGTTGCCTCTAAGGGCACAGAGGAGATCATTCGTGGAAAACGTAGGCTCTCAGTCGGTGTATGTGTTTACGTCAAATTAAGTTCTTGTCGAATAAGGCCAAAATGAAGACACGAGAAATGCAAGTAGATGGGCCCCAAGAAAAAGATCTGGTTCGTTATAGAAGTGATAAATACTGTATAAATACACGCAGTTGGGTTTTGAGGGGGATAAATTATATCCAGTTTTATCACTCCATTCTTACCATTGGTTAAGGACAAATAATTTCCTCTTGATAACTTTGTATGCTCCTGGAAAATCAAAAATGGCAAAGTCGTCGTCGTTTCACAGGCTCTCAAATAACTGACGCTTAACCGTTAACAGCAATGGCAAACAGTGTCACTCAGAAACGATTCCTGGGGCACCCCGTTTTCTATCTGATCGCCGGAAGACAGCTTGTCAACAAAGCTGACGCGGCAAGATCCAGAAGACAAAATTGACTAAGACCAATTGTAGTCGTCTCCAAAGGCCACAAGGAAGCAGCGTGCGGACTCCGTACCACAAGTGAAGCCGAACGCTTTTTCAATGTAAAAGAAAACAAATACAAGGTGATGTAGCACGAAAGAAGATATCTATGTAGATGTAAGATATACGTAGATCTACTATGTAGAGTGACTAAGTCCATGTTTGACCGGTGTCTTCTGAAACACTGAATAGATGTAAGTTTCTCCGTTGCAAGAGAAAACCCATTCGCTTCAGGCGTCGAAACCAAACGCGCCAAGCGTTCACCATTCGCTGTAAGAATTTCAGACGCAGCTGGTGCGCGATTTTGGGCTGTAGCTTCATGGGAGTGTTCTACCCTTCTTTTTTTGGGAGTTGGGATAACAATGGTTTCACATCAGTTCCCAGAAATGGAATGCTCAACTCAAATCCAATTGATGAGGCGAAGGGAGAAATATCGTGTTTTCCCGGTAGATGCTTTAGCATAATGTAAATATGAGTAGACCCTGGAGTAGAATTTTTAGCGCGAGCTAGAGCAAAGGAAAGTTCCTCCACGGAGAAAAGAGCGTTATAATCCTCCTCCAGGCTACTCGAAAAATCCAATGTACATCTCATCTAAATCGTCTCTTTGAACTGAGAAAGCTCGAGGTTCAGTGTGAGGAACTGGAGAAGTTCGTGTAACGAGAAGCCAATTCCTCAACTGTATCTTCTCGTGCGGTGAGATTTCCATTTACCAGCAAGACTGCGACAGCCAGTGGGGGAAGTCTTTCTCTGATTTGTCGCACTTCCCTCCGTACTACTTTAGGGGTGTATTATGTATACGAAAGCATGAAAATGAGGAAATATAGGCACTCAGGAAAGTCAGGAAGCGTCCTTACTCTCGTACGACTCATCGAGCTCTGGCCCGGTTCTTTTTAGACGGATCTTTTCTGATCACGCACCGCGATAACACAGTCGCTATTCCATCAAAGTGCAGGGGAGTGTCCTGGCCGGCTCGCGAAGAACAGCGTCGGTAAAATGCGTCGTCATGGCAGATAAGTCTTTTGAGCAACTGTCAGGTATTTGTATTTCTTTGCTGAATACATCCTACTCCGCTCGATGGATTAGTCAGAGGGGTGGGCGGGCAACGTTTGAAGCAGGAATATCAAAGTGGACCAGAGTAGGGAAATAGTCACTCCCATGCAAGCAAGCAAGAACAGAGACGGACTGTAGGGCGGCACATTGGACGAGAAAGCGTTTCAAGCCAAGGAACAGTGAATGTAATTCTGCAATTCAGAATTAGGGTCTGATGGCCAATAACATTTCAAGAATAGTGCCTATCGGGCAAGACCTCGTGCCATCACAGGCGGGATTGCGGGCATTAACGTCACCAATAAGAAAAGGAGGGAATATCATGTTCAAGTTGTTCATTTAGAGCGGCTTGTGCAGGGGGTGGAGCTGACGTTAGGTTTCTTGCGCTCAAGATAAAATGAGATGTTTGGGGCCCCCATATAATATAATGCGCTCCCAGATAAACATTTGATTTAGAAAAATGATGAACACTCATACTTATTGTTCAGAATATCATCATAAAGACAATAATGATAAACTGAAATTAATTTGATAATTATTAAAACAAATTATGCATACTGTTGGCACATTGACTGCCAAATTAATACACATTTGGCGCCACGCTTCGAACAGCTCAGTTTTGCTGCTCTTTGAAGGCATTAAAGAAGCTCAAACATTTGAAAGTTCCCGATTAGGAGATAGCTCAAACAATTGTCTAATTTTGCTCAAAAAGTCGCGCCAATTCCTTCCAGTTGACCAAATACGATTTTTTTTTTTGGTATAACGATTGTTAACTGCCGCCTGTTAGTTGATTGCACCACCTCCTGGGCGGCCACGACGAAAAATTTAGAAATTTCTCGACAAATTTCTAGGAATTCAACCTTTTCCACGTCAGACGCGACGAGCTCGCATTGTCATGAAAATCAGAGGAGCCGTGAGCAGTTTCGAGGCGATCGTGCACGGAGGTAACCATGACAATCTCTTCAATACTCACCGATTCTTTCGGAAAAGTAATAATCTTTGTCAATTATGTGTCGTCTCTTTTCCAGAACTCTCTCGTCTGAGAACAGTAGGAGGCGATGTTAATTGCAGTTTCTGCCAATGCCCTCCCAATTCATCTAAGCAATATTTCGCAGCCTCAACACATACCGAAGCTTTCTCCTTACAAAATTAATAATTTAATAAGATCAGCACCAATAAGCCGAAATAAAAATAAAACAATATTTATTATACAAATTTATCAAAATCGCCCCCCAAGGTTTGCACCCTAGGCAACTACCTAGTTTACGTGTAGGTAGCGCAAGATATGATATCGCAATAAGCAGTAGAGGAGTTTCCTGCAAGCCGAGAAGAAATTGGTTTTGGCGAAGGCTTGTTAACTTTAATTCGGAATGTAAGAGAAAACCGTTTACATTCTTTGAGATAGTCATGGTTAAAATTAAGTTGGGTTTCTCCTTTTTCACGTTCTTGGGCTTTTGAAAAATGCTCTGAGCACTCGTTTGAGGTTCCTCTTCCGCAACAAATTCGTCCTGCCTTCTACTAGAGGGCGGCCAGCGTTGAAGTGCAATTTACAATCTATGGAACAAGAACTATCAACACATTTTGTATCAGGGACCCACAAAATGCGATTTTCATTTGAAAAATCACTGTTACGTGCTCCAGCATTACAATTCTTTCTCTAAAACTTCATAAGTAGTATATAAGAAAGTAAAAAGTCAACTCAAACTGATAAATTATTGTAATTATCAATTACTTTTGGCCTACTCTACTACTTTGTCTCAAACAAAATAATAAAGTAACAAAGTTATGGTTTAGTACTTGATATTTTTCAGAAATCATTCATTTAAAGAAAAAATAATCTTACCAGCATTGCCAGAATCACGTTCACCCACCAGTAACTGAGGCTGAAAATTCTCATGAGTGGGACTACTTGGAAAATCAACTGAAACAGAAAGAAATATATGGTTTTAATGTGGTCACACTTAACGTTTGCATTATCGAAGTAAAATCCAATTATTAATCACATTAAATACAAGTAAAATGAATTAAATTATTTTTTCTAATTACTAGCAAAAAAATAATGTAATAAGTTAAAAACAAATAATAAATAAAAATAACAGGGCCAACAAAAAATTTCGTTGATATTTAAATCTGAAGACATTAGATAATTATACCCAAAACGATGAATATTAAAATATATATAGTATTTGCTTGAATATATATCAACTCTGAATTACAATGACCCCCTAATTTTGAAGAGGTCCACTGAGATATTTTAAAATTTTAAACTAATTCTTACTATTAAGTCAAAATAATATTGCAAAGTATCTTCTTGACTAGAAAATTGCCTTGTTGATGAGAATGTTAAGACTTACAGCCTGAACTATCATTTTCCATACATTCCTTAAAATCATGTCAATCATGATTTTTGCCACTATCCTCATCATTTTCACATGCATCAATGTTTCATCCTTTGTGTTCCTCCTTCCATGCTGCAACATGGTCAGACTTTTTAGGCCCCTTGACAGTTTTGCGGGTTGATTTTGCATTGTTCTTAGTCCCGCACTTGATTCGCCAAGCCTCTGATTTTTTAATAGTTCTTTCACATTCTTGAACAAAATAAACTTGTAATTAGCATTGTTTACTATTTGTGTGATTGATTTGTGAACTTTTACATATCTATACCTCCGTTTGGCAAGTAAATTGGGAGAAGCGGCAGCTAGTTTCCTAGTTTGGTAAGTTTTTGATAAAAACAAAAAAATAATTTTTTACCGTAATTTTCTGTGGTTGGATGTAGAATGTATATGTCTATCAATGTGATTTTTTTTAAATTTCCGACTCTTGCAAAATGACGATACATATTCGCTGGGTGTCGAATGGAGAATTAACATGGGCTTGTCGAACCTGCATTGTGTAAAACATTGGCATTTCGTCTAAATTGAGGAGAGAGAGAGAGAGCAGAGAGAGAGAGAGAGAGCAGAGAGAGAGCAGAGAGAGAGAGAGCAGAGAGAGAGAGAGAGAGCAGAGAGAGAGAGAGCAGAGAGAGAGAGAGAGCAGAGAGAGAGATCGAGAGCAGAGAGATCGAGAGCAGAGAGATCGAGAGCAGAGAGATCGAGAGCAGAGAGATCGAGAGCAGAGAGAGAGAGCAGAGAGAGAGAGCAGAGAGAGAGCAGAGAGAGAGAGAGAGCAGAGAGAGAGAGAGCAGAGAGAGAGAGAGAGCAGAGAGAGAGAGAGGAGAGAGAGAGAGAGGAGAGAGAGAGAGAGAGAGAGAGGAGAGAGAGAGAGAGAGAGAGGAGAAAGAGAGAGAAGAGGGAGAGAGGAGAGGGAGAGGAGAGGGAGAGGAGAGGGAGAGGAGAGAGAGCAGAAGGAGCAAAATCACGACATGGGGGTCATTTTGATTCAAACTTATGATTTTTCAAAAAATAAATGAACGTAATATTCACGTAGAAATATATCGTATTTACATTACAGTTGTATTTTATACATTTATACAATCGTGAGTGCAACTGTTTCAAAAGATCTCTAAGAAAGTTTCTTAAATTCTTGTATTTATACTACAGAATTATTTTATTATTTTATACATTTATGAAAGCAAATGACTCGTAATAAACTTTTTTCAAAGTCTAAAAAGTTTTCAAGCTCAAATTAGTTTAATTTTGCGCATTTTAAGAATTACTCAATGTTTTTTTAATAGCCGGTAAAAAGAACTTCCCCAATATAAATATTACAGGCCAACAAAAAAAAGGTTTCAAAACGCTTTTAAAATCTTGATAACTGATTTTTATAGTTTTTTTGGGTGCTAACTCCGCATCTGAAGTCTGTTTGTTTCCATCACTCACAGACAATTTGATATAGTAAGATATGGGAAAAAATGTTAAATGTGTAATAATATTGAGAAGTAAATGGCTTTTAAAATACCAAGAGAACTTTATTTAAACATAGATGGCATTATATTCTTCACATTACATTCTACAAAGGCTTTCCGAATCCATTGATGTATATTTTCTTTGTCTCTTTTCTTTTAAGATCCTGATATAGCTTTTTCTCCTATGGGCCATTTGCTCACGCTCTCAGTGAAGTGACCAACTGTTATCTCCCATCATGTTGATGTTCCAGCATTTCTGAAAATGTTTTCAATCACTTTTAGATCTTGAAGAAAGCGCTCAGCTTGTTCTTCCCTTAAATCACCTAAATTTATTGGAAAGAATTGTAAATGACTGTTTAAAAAGTGAACCTTGGGGCTCAATACACATACCAATATTTTAAAACATCCAGGATGCTGGGAGCAATTGCTTGATAGTCCGAGTCTTTTTTGTTACCTAAGAACGTATTTTCACTGTTTAAATGCAATCCACACTTATCTTTAATTTACTGTCGTATGCAGTTCAAATTGGGAAAATGGGAATCAAACATTTTTCTAATATCAGGCCCAATAAAGAGACCCTCTTAATTTTGCTTCAGAGAATTGCAGAATCTTTTTACAAAGGTATTTGGAAACATTGCCCATCTTTAGGTAAGACCTTCACAAATTGTTTCATGTGGCCTAATTTTGTGCAATGGGGACAGCAGAATTGTGTGTTGATCTACCACATGTTCCCAGACAATGTTCTTTTCTCCTGGCTTTAAAGATTTTCTAATAGACCGATTCTTTGTAGACTAATGCTGTTCTTGTGCCTTATAATCCCATTCACACAGGAAACGTGGGAATTTAGTAAAGCCACTTCACTGTTCAAGAAACATGCAGGTTATTTTTAAATCACCACTTATCATCTAGCCATGAGTGGAGTAGTTTATTTTCTCTAAAACAACACTGAGGTTCTCCTTCATGTGTATAGAGCAACAGGTGAAGATGCATAGGTGACATCATTGTTTAATAGAACTGCTTTTAAATTAGTTTTAGAGGAATTGTTAAACAGTTTCCATTCTTCTTTTTTGTATTCAATTCCGAACTCATTCACCAGACTGGCAATATTTGAGCAATATATTAAATCCTGGTCTTGTTTAAAGAAATGAGCAAATTGCTGCTCTCTTGATCTGTACACACGAACTGAAGTTCCAGCTGCTAACAAGATCTCCTCTTTGAGTCTGGAGCCACGCAGTTCAGCTTTGTCCTTTGTTTAGCCCAAATCCCAGACCAAATCATTTAAGTCTGCTTGAGAAACAACTTATGTTACACACTGTTTACAGGACACCGAAACTCAGTGCCATCTATCATCTTTGTCTCAGGGAGATTCAATGCTTTACATATTATCCTAATAAACAGTTTCAATAGCCACTTGAGACCCAGACCCAGGCCCAGGGAAACAAAAAGTTAATGTTATTGGGATAAATAGATTCAGCGTTGCATTCTCATTATTTGTCATGTTTGCATCAAACAAGTCAATTTTGCTTAGTAATTTTATTTTAAAAACATATTAATATAATTTTATATAATTGTTCCAAATAGTATGGTAAAATGTCACAGAAACATGGAGTTTTTTTTTAATTGGATTGATAAGTGATTCTGGGTGTGTCAACTGCTAAGGTAATTAGTTCTGTAGTGTAGGTGTTCTTTCCTTGGGAGGTGGTGATCTTGTCTCGTTGCATAGTGAGATCGGGCACTGAACCAACCATCGACTAGTGAGTTCGAGTAGTTCCCCAACCAGGTATTCCCCACCAGCAGGGCACCGCCCCAGCCGGGACAAGTTGTAAGTTCCTGACTGGTCTCCCGACATGTGTTGAAGTGTAGTGCTTGTAAGTAAAGGGTGTGGATAAGACAAGGTAGGGAGAGGAAACATTGCATGTGGTTTGTAGTCCGTTTGTTAGGATACTACTCCAGCATTCACCTGGTATTGATTGGAGAAACTATAGAAACCTACTGATCAGAGCAGCTGGCTGCTAGAATTTTCCCCCAGACAATGGCTGAAATCGACCTAGCTATCTAGCTAGGTGCAAAATCCTGCCACCGTTGAGACTCGAACCTAGAATCTCCTAGTCAGAAGCACTTGAGTGACATCAGTTGATGCCCTGAGCCATATCTCCTGACAGAACTTACAGCATACTGTGAAAGTTCGTGGTCAGGAAGACTTAGGTTTTGACTCTCATGCAAAGCGTAAATGTTTTCATTAGAGTTTGTGGCATTTCTAGTCCCTCGAGTATCACCTTTACACCATAATTCTTGCATGATCCCTTGCTGTGACCAGTATCTGTGTATGCAATCTATCTGTGTTCGTAATTGGGGAACTGTCTCCTTCTTTCCAGAACAATGGTACAAGTAACAAGATGGGTCCACCAATATATTCTCAAATGTAATGGTACAGGTCTGAGATGGGCCTAGAATAACACAAGGAAATTCTTCCCAGGAAATTGATCTCGAGCAATAGTAGTCTCTGTGGTAGGTTCTAGTAGGTCCCTTAGACACTGACCGATGGAAGCCAATGTGGGAGGGGCAAAACTGGAAAGTTAGCCCCAACTCTAAAGTTACTAAATGATGTATGAGAAAGTCTGTGCCATTTGTAGCACCATTGCATATTTATTTGAATTTCATTTTGATTTCATTATGATATTATAACAGCTGTTTTAAGTAAAATTTTCTTAATATACTTCCCGTTTTTTCATTTCAAAGTCCATAGAGCTCTATCTTTTTATGTATTCTTAATTTTTATTAGAATAAGTGTGATGGCAAGAAATTAGACAATAGTTAAATAACTATTGTCTTTTGAGTACTCCAATTTTTAAACTCTTAATGACATGAAAACCCAGATATTTATATTTTTTACTAGTTAGAACCAGTACAAACTCAATTAATTTATAGTTTATATTTTCAATCAGCATGTCCAACACTAGTCAAAAGTCCTTATTAAAAATAAAAATTTCAAATAATTTATACGCAAGTGCCATTAATATTACTACTTTGAATCATTAATATAATAAACACTGTAATGAAACATTCATGACTCAAACTTCAATGGAACTAATTGCTTAGAAGTTGATCAAGGAATAATGTTTTGCTTTTAAATATATATTAAAAACATACATCCCTTGATTAAATAAATATTTAGTTGAAGTTGGTCAACAGAAGAAAAATATTGTCCGTCAGACCATGGGATAATACTGCCAAAAACTGATAAGAAAATTAAGGAAGAACATTTTAACCTTTCAGATTTCCCAAAAAACTGAATGTTGTGCAGGTCTGAAATAAAATGTTCTCTGCAAACAAAGTAATATATTAACTCCTGAGTAATCCGTTATGCACACCGATGGATTATGATCCAATAATCTAGGCTTTTACATTCCATCCTTTCTTGTGAGAACTTGAAAGAAAATAGAAAGTCTGACATATTCACCATATTCCACCTAAGTTGGTACCTCTCAACATAACTAAAAGCATTTTCCATAAAAAATAATACCTACGTGTACAAATTTAAAGATAGTAGTAAATACACCAAATAATATTTGAATTAGAGGCAGTCATGGATATTCATCACAATTGATGTTGGAATTGTTTTCCCCCTACAGAACAATGCAACAAATAGAAAAAAGGACATAAGGCAACTGGTGTTTGAAAAGTATACTTTTTACATGGGAAAGGTTCTTTGTCCAATATAAAAGGAGAAGTAAAAAAATAGCAGATCGACAGTGGCTAGCCTACACAACAAGAGAGATGTAATGCAGAGCAGTTTCACTTTCTCGTTACCGCTTATTTATTTTGATACATTTCCAACAGATAAACTGGACTTCCAAAAATTTAACAATAAATAAATACAAATATAATAATATTTAAAAAATTAAGATACTAATTGTCGAAGTACCAAGTAAAAATTACCACATACTTACCAAATTCCTCCTGGTACATTTCTAGAGTTGGAAGTTCTAAATCCAAACCTTCCAAACTCAATTTACTTTCAGAATGTTCCCTTGATAATGTAGTGTCTTCACCAGCACTTGACCAATTGCCCAAATCTTGAAAGAATCAAATATGTTGTAATTAACACCACAAGTTCAAAATTTAAAAGTTAAACTAAACAGATAATCACTAACAGTCAACAGAAAATGAAAATCAAACTCCTGTTGGTTTGATTAACCACAGAATTACGAAGAATGGAGGGGGGGGGGCGCTAAAGGGCCCACCACCTTGATACTGCTTTCAGTTCATTTGATTAATGTGCTCTACAATGTTGAGAATTAATGTAATTGTTGAGATAGTTTCACTCTTCGTTTTCCACAACAATGGCAGAAGATAGGTGTATTGCTTTTTTGTATCTGCTTTTTTCTGGAAATCCTCTCTTTGTAGAAGACATAGTATTTCCATTGTGCTTTTAGTGGTTGTATTATTTTCCCCCTTTTATGTACATAGGAAAATTAGGTTTATGTTGGCAATGTTCTTTTTTTTCTTCTTTCTTTTTGTAAACACCCCCGAACAGAACTAGGAGTAAGAGTGCAACCATTTTTCAATTATTTATTCATTGAAAATGTCAGAAAGGTTGGTAACGAGAAATAGAAGGATACTTGTGAAGGAGAATATAATGTACCAGATTGAGATTAAAAGTGGATTCCTTGAAGGAATTTGCATTTCTAAGTGTTCAATGAATGAATCTTCTGATAATAACATCCACAATTTTTTTTGTAAGAATTATATCAGTGAGTTGGACGAAGCTACAAAGACAATTGATCCTTTAAACAGAGTCTTGGACCTGTATCTCCCTATGTGACCTTACTGGTTTGTGAACAACTTAAAATACGTATTTTTACCGACATCTCACTAACAATAATTGTCACCTTGTTCCTTTCCTGAGAGAGAGTCTTTGTCGTTTGCCATGGTTGTAGATGTAACACCAATAGGTTTGGAAGTAGTAAGGTTGGACGTCACATTCGTTGCCCGTAACATTTTCTCTTGAAGTAACTTGTCTGTGGTAAGAGGAGTAGACATATCGGTGGTAGTTGATGTAATATTAGTAGTAACAGCAGCAGCAGCAGCAACTGCTGGTGCGTTATCAAGTACTACAGCATTTGCATCGGGTTCCTGATTGTCTATGACTTCTGATGGGCTCTGAAAAAGGGAAAAAAAATAAAAAAAAATCATCAATCAAAATTGTCATTATAAACCAACATATTTAATTTAATTTCATTCAGATAATATCTGAATAAAAATCAATATGTAAAAGACTTGCATTCCTAAAAGAGAAAACCAAATGGAATGATAATTCAGGAAGCCAACGTTTCCTAAATCCTATGTTGCCTGTGTTTCAAAAATTTGTATACACTATAGTAGGTATTTAAGAACATTTTGTTAAAAAAATATCAATGAATGGGAACCTTCATATATTCATGTATAGACAGAAAAGAATAGATAAGAGATAGGCCAGGCAGGTTTGGGCATGGCAGGGCAGGCAGTCTGAAAGCTTAGTCATGCAGACAGTCTGATGGCCAATCAGTCAGGCAGAAAGTCTGTAGAGGCAGGTTGGATTGTCAGGTTGTCAGTCAGACCACAGCGAGCAGTAACGAAAGAGCAATGCATGCATGGTTCAGTCAGTCGGCCAGTTTGTCTGATGCAATCAGTCATTCCATCTGGCACAATCAGTAAATCTGACAAGCAGTCAATCATTCAGTCTGGTGCACTCAGTGTTTATTGTGAATTTTGTTTGAGGAAAGGGCTGCTATCTACAATGAGAAACAAATAATGGTAACCATTGATACATTTGATTTGGCTATGTTGTGATTAAACAACATTTTTATTACAATATTCAGTCTTATTCACTAACCACTGAAGATTCACTTCGGTATAGCCACATGTGCCCAACAAATGATAGCAGAGTCAAATCAAGTGGATTTTAGAAGAGTGAAGAATGAGAGAATACTTGGAGTTAATTATTGCCTAATCCTACATCAATCCATTTTAAATCCACCACTCAACTGATTACTTGCTCTATGGTTTAGTAGTAAGGTTGGACATCATATTCGTTGCCCGTAACATTTTCTCTTGAAGTAACTTGTCTGTGATAAGAAGACACGTTGGTAACATGTTTGTAGTAGTTGATGTAGTAATATTAGTAATAACAGTAGCAGCTCAGCACGGAAATTAAGGTGATTTTCACAAAGGAAAGTAGAATCTACTAGAGATCATGGCTAAGGACTACAGGGCAAACCAGCCAAATATTCAGTGCAGCAACCAGATGCCTTAGTGAACTTAGCTGGATGACAATCTATCCCAGTATTTGTCAATACAATTTTGTGTTGAACCGGTTTGGGTGATAGTGCGTTTCTAATCAGCATAAAGAAGCTGCTTGGTACAAATTATCGCACAAGGAAAACTGATATAAAATGATTTTAAGACTGCTTGGACTGTGCAAATTTGCTGAAGGAGCTGCATTGCCATTCGATGATGCAAGAGTTAAGCACATGGAGAAAAAGAGTTCACAAGAGAAAAGAGCTCTTTCCATCATCTACCTAGGATTGAAACTAAAGCAGTGATGCCTGATTGATGCTTTTGAACAACAATGGCCAGAATACAATCATTAAGGATGAAACTTTTCCAACTGCGAATGGAACCAAATGAGTAACATCTGTGTTTCTATCTGGGGATAACCAAAGCAGCAATGGCTTCGACTGCAGCTGGTAAGAAAGTTTAAGACCATCATGTCACATTTCAGATGCTAGGGGAGTGCCAAAACTATATGACGGAGTAGTGCAACATCTTTACAGGCTAAAAAGGTAGACTTCACCACCAAGGTGATTGCAAAAGCTCTTACTGTCGAGGCTATGAGATTAGAACAGAGTTACAAACCAAAGGATAATAAAAGTACTTTAATAAAATGTCATTAAATAAAATGTCAGTGTGTGCCCTGCGTAAAGCTAAAGGAGTTTATAATCTTGAAAATATTCAAAAGGATAAATTGAGCTGTACAGCATGCGCTAAAGCAAAATTTAACACAGCCCACTTACCCAAAAGTGCCAAATAAGTTAACCAAAAGCCTTTTAGATATGTTTCACAGAGATGTGAATACCATTTCGGTAATTTATGAAGGTGGCGCTTATTATTTTCTTGAGATTATAGATCAATTTAGGAAAATAGCCTTCTATGGCAAAGAAGAGTGAAGTATTTTCAACACCTTTAATTTTGAAAGCTAAGGTTGAGAATGCGCTGAACAAAAAGTTTTAAGTTATAAAAATAGACAATGGACTAGAGTTTTGCCTTAAGGGATTCTCAAAAGAATCAGTCTGAAGACATCATACATCAACGTACAAACATGGAGCGTCCTGAGATGAATGGTGTGGAAGAAAGATTCAACTGAACATCCATGGAGGCTGTGTCTTTCTACATTCATACATTCCCAGTTTTGGGCAGAAGTTTTGCTTGCAGAAGTCCACATGAAGAATCAGTCATTCTATTCTGTGATTAAGAGGGAGGTTCCATTATTGAAATGATTGTTTTTGACACAAATGACTGGAAATTTTTGGTTCACTATTTTAGATCAATAGGCAGTTTAGCCATTGCATTAAATACTAAATGCAAGCACAAGAAACTTGAACCAAAAGGCAAATTGGTAGTTGTTGATTATGTCTTACGTCCCTGGATATGGTTTCATACAGAGAATAAAATTGAGAAAACTAAGAAAGCCTGCATACTTGAGGAGTGGTTAGGATATCCACCTTGTATGACAAGTAAACCAGTTGACACACACTTGTATTTGGATCTCCATAGAGAAACTCCAGCTAATTCCGATGATGAATTTAAAGGAACTGACGTTGTTCATCGAACAATTCAGGAGGAGGAAAATTGAAAGCAAGATCCAAATGCAAACGTTCCATGCATGGCACCAAACAATCAATCTATACTACATGCTAGAACTCCACCTACTTGATCTCAACAAACTACGCGTCTTATTCTGGCTCATACCATTAATTTGCATAAGACTATCGTACCTTGGACAGATAGTAAATATCCTGGAAAAACAGGATGTTTATTACTTCTTTGGGAAGCCAAATCAGAGATTATAGATACTTCAACAGGTACAAGAATATTGTAAAAATAATAACACAGAAAAACAGCTGATTTCAATGATTTAACGAGGAAAATGCTCATCTAGCAGACATAGTGAAAAGTATTGCTGAATCCAGTAATTGTGTAACTGGGTAATTGATATTTTATATTGACAAATTTTGTCTGTTTTATGTTGACTAATGTAGCCTACACTGGAGGTCATGCTCTCGAGTATTGATATTGGAGGTCATGCTCTCGGATATTGATATTGGAGGTCATGCTCTCTGATATTGATATTGGAGGTCATGCTATCCAGTATTGATATTTTATGTTGGCAAAATTGTCCATTTAATGTTGACAAATTTTGGCACAGGCAGGCAGCCAGTCAGTCAGGTGTAGGCTGGCTGGCAGACACAGACAATAAGTTCAGCATAATCAGTCTGACAGGAGCAGGCAGTTGGACTGCTTGGGCAGTCAGTCTCTTACAAATATGCAATTAGACATTCTTCCCCAGACAGGCAGATTGTCAATCTGCCAGTCTGGCAGGCTGACAGTTTGGCTCAAGCAGGAAGGCTTGGGCGAGAGGGAGGGTGCAGTCAGGCAGCTGGTGAGAGCTATTGAGTTGGCACAGACAGCCAGAGTGTCAAACACAAGCAGCTAGCAAATAGCACACAGGCTCACCAGCAGGTACAGGTAGGTTTGTGGTTAGGTAGTTTTTTGAAGAAAATTAAAGTGGTAGAAATCTCAAACTTCTATTTGAAACTACTTGAAAATGAAGATGTTATTTGAGTATTTCTTTGTAAATTGACAATATATAAAAATAAAAAAATAAAAAATTTAAAACTCCAAACATTACTACAAATATTAGTGTTTTGAAGTTTGATACAATATATACTCATATTTCTTAGCTTTACATTTTGGGACGGACCTTAGTTTCTTAAACACTTTCCATCGATTACTTGTCTTCATCCTGCATGCAGTCAACCTATTCTCAAGTCCTTCAGTACATCTTGTAGCCATGCATTTTGATGCCTGTTTTGAAGAAATCATGTATTAACATCCTTTCTTGGATTTGTTACCTCTTTGATTCTGTGTTAATGACTTGACGATGAAATTCTTGAGAAGTTATCACAGTTTATATCTTATCCCAGAAAAATTCCAAAATTTGATAATAGTCATCATCAATATCATTATGAGCTGTTGGATGTTACGTGTATCACCTGTTCCTGATGGTGCAGTAGACTTAATGGTTTAAACCTCCAGGCATTCCGATTCGTTCCAGTTTTTTAAAATTTGTTTTTCAATGTCCCTTTGGGATTGTAATTTAATGCTAGTTATGAAAATGTCTCCTTTCTCTTTCTCGTAATATGTTCTCAAAATTTAGTCTAATAGCCTTTTTTTCCTTCAATATTTTTTGTTTTAAGCATATTTCTTATATTCTTATATGTGTTCCATTGCTGCGCCAACAGTGCTTCTCCTGATATATATATTGGTGGACGCTTATTTTATTTTATTATCTTTTCCGGTCTTTGGTCTCTACTACTTAGTGCCCTGGCAATCCAAAAAGCAGCATTGGTTTGGATGCCATGTACATACAATTTTGTTCAGTCATTTCTCTCCTAAAACTCTTCTTCATTATTTCATCAGATCAATTATATTTCTGGATATTCTTTTCTAGATCTTCTGCATTTCGTCCAATATTGTTATCTAGACAGCAAAATTTTGTCAAGTTTTCTATTATCTCTCCTAATACTATCTTAGCTCATCTAATTTCTTCACCTTGAAAAGCCATGGTTTTATTATTTGTTAAGGTATATTCCCATACAGTACAAATTGCTACCATTTCTTTATGTGGATGGAATAGATGTTAAAAAGACGAGGTGATAGTTAACATCATAGATCTTTGTAGGTTTCAAAAGATTGTGATGGTCCTATTAGACTTTTTAATCTTCATTCATGAGTTTGAATAAAGATTTTGTATTCCTTCAATTATTTCTCTGGGATTTTTTTCCTTCATTCATCATTTTTCATTTTCCTATTTATGTCATATGACTTTGCATCAAATCAACAACCAGAAAGGACATAGATTCATTTCATTGTGATTTTCTATGATCTGTATTGTAAATATAACATCTTTCGCATTCCTATCTTTTCTAAATCCACATTCTTCTTCTCCCATAAATGTTTTGTTATGTTCATTCCTTCTGTTTCTTAAAATAATTGTAATACATTCTGTCAACACAACATACTAGAGAAAGTAATTTACTGAATACAGGAGCAGGATTAATCCACTTCATTGATATCAGGGTCCCCTAAAATGAGTTTCTGTTGAAAAATCACAACTTTCTACCCCAGCATTATAATACTTTCCCTTATTACAGATGTATGTAGTGAGAAAGTAAAATGTTTATTTTGAACTTGCTAAATTGTATTTTGTGGAGAAGATAAGGTCTTTCAACTGAAAGATCATCTGGAGTTAGCAGTTGTAATAAAATGCATCAATTGTTGCTCTATTTATCCACAACTTTGCATGAATATTTACTAGAAATAAAAAAGTTCTTTACGTTTTTCACTTCCATTTATAGAGGTATTAGAAATATTGTTTTTTAAAGACAATAGAAAAAAATTTGTAAGTCTTGTAATTTTTTTACATTTATATCTTAAGGTCCTTTACAGAGGAATAAATGTACATTTATTGTAATGAAATATGGCACATTAACAAATTACTCACTCTGGGCAACAAAGAAATAACAAAAAACACATCAATGGGAGAGTGAGTGTTCAAGTCAAAATAAATTTAAAAATTTATTTAAAGTTCACCCTTCACAATAACAATAATTGTTTTACTATTTACTCCCAAGTGTTTAAAAACAAAACTGATAAATAATAATATCCTTTTGCAACTTAAATGAGAAAATAATAGTATACTACAATAATATTGCTTAACATGTGGTTATTGAATTGCAAGTGCAATTCAATTCAATTGCAATTCAGAAATTTAAATGCGTGATTTTGCTCTTTCTGCTTGGCAGTTTCCATAATTTTTCATTTTGACTCTAAAACACTAATACATCTTGAACTTTTCTAGTTTAATTTCTAGTTTTTTCTAATCTTGTTAAATATCTTATTTTCTCCACTTTTCTTTGCATTTCATAATTTCTTTTACCTTTCTAATGGAATTCCTAAGGCTAAGGACACTTGGAAATAAAAAAGAACACAGAGACTGTTGTGTTTAAGTATAGTTTCAGCGATTCATTAATAATATTACTTCCCTGTAGGAAAAAATATCAAGGAAGGGCACACAATTTTTTTTTTTTATCCTAAAGATTGAACATATTGGTAAAGTGGAAGTGAAAAGTGTATTAACTTAATTTAACTGCTACGAAGAAATTTTCGGGTTTTCGTTCTGAAAAAATCGGACATTGCCTTTTGTTTGCTTTGTGGCAGATATAACTTTTTGCTCAACCTATGTATGTGATACTTATTGCTTTCTAATACAAATAAACTACCATTATCAACTATTGCTTACAATAATGCAAACTATGTAAACAAGTACAATGTAATATTTTTAATTGTGAGCTACCTATGTATGTGTAGATACAAACTGATAAGAGATCACGTCTCCATGTTACTCTTATAACTGTTTCACAAAAACAAAGCGGCATCGACTACATTGTTCCATCGTTATTGCTATTAATTTTGATGGGTTCATTAAAAATCTAGTTGAGAAAATGAGGTGTTATAGTAAAAATCATGAATTTCATATTCTAGAATATAGTAATTTCTCTGTTCACTGCAGTAAAAAGGTCACTTTTACCCCAATACGCAGGATTAAGTTTATTCAAAATAACCTATTTTACAGCTTAATCATGCTACTTGACAACTTTCACAAACTGATTGATTAGAATGATTGTTTACATAAATTTGCCTGATAATAAAAATAATAACTAGCACACATCAATATTATTTTGAATTTAATAAAAAATCTATCTTCAATTCAATCAAACCTATAACATTACCTTGGGGCAACTACATGTTTGTAAGAAGCAAACCATTCATATGAATCCCAAGATATATTCAAATTTTCTGCACACTTCTTATAACTTATGTTGGCTTTACAAGGCATACAAATGGTGAAGAGTCATAGATATTCCAGTATTCTCTACAAATATACTCACTCTGTCACTGAATGGGGTTGCTTGGTCAGATACTTCACTGATATCCATCTTGTCTGATTCTGTTGGAGTATCATTATGAATAACATCGTTATCACTAAAAATAAAATAAAAGACAATTAGTGCCTTTAGACTGTGACAATAGCACAGCATATATTAACACCAATAAAATCAGTAGTTTTCAAAATGTCTGTTTAATTCACAACAGTTAAAACCTTCTATAAATCTTGACTACATACGTATCACAGAAGGATTTTAACAAATATAAACATTATAGATACAAAAAACATAAATGGTGGGCAATCACTTCAATAAACTATAATCATACAAATAAAAGAAATTTGATAGCATCCAAAATCAAAGTCTGAAATTAAAATTTTGAAAAATGTGTACTGAAAGACAAACATGCCCTTCAGTTGAAACATGTAGAATTACTTCTCGCGATTATGATAAAATATTTATGAAGAATACATAACGTATGTGTTCAGCATATTCCTTTTGTATTCATACACAATACCATCAGACCATCACTTTAACTTCCAAAAAGCTTTAAGTAGTTGGTTGTGAAGAAATGACGTTTACCCTTGATATCACTGACGGTCAATAATTTGAAAACAAATATCGAGGATAAGCTTCGTTAAGTTTTCTGTCGAGTCAGTATCAGTTAAGTAATACAAAAACAAACAGATTCACACCTCATTAACTATTTGGATGGAATGTCCTCAGTTTTGAATATTTGACAGGTCACCAATCTCATGTAGTCACTTAGTAGACCGGTTCACAAAATGTCTTCAGGCATGCCGCAAAATTCACTGCAGTATAACCACAACACTGAGGGCAATGTGACACTTAGCAGTTCTTACGTCACATCAAACATGCAGAGAAAGAACAAATTAAAACTGTGCCAACAGGAAAGAAAATTAATTTTATGAATAACAAATAAACGCGTTCTAATGAACTGGAGAACTCCTGAAAACAATTATTGACTGTCTACTTCCAAGCTGTGGTAACGGTGATGTAGTACGATTGGGAACGTGCGAAACGTGGTTGCTTCTCGATGTTGGTACTCGTTGCACTTTTGGCATATCTGCTAGAGTCGTGAACATCCGAGAAGAACTGGAACTGGTGATCGGTTTGGATCGGGTGGAGAGGCTAGACCCGGTCTGTTGCATAGAAGTGTGAAAGTTCTTGTGAAAGTGTCAGGTAAAGATAATTTCTCCTGTTCTTTTCCCATTATTGCCCATATGTTTACGCATGCCTGCATTTTACAATCCCTTTATTGCAGTTGTTAACACAGTTGTAGTTCAAAATCGAAGAAGCTTGTAATTCTAATTCCGTTTAGAAAGTGAGGTTAAATGGCCGTAGCTACACGTTGTCTATAGTATTTTTTAATTACAGACTTCTATCTACAATGAAGTGTCATTACGAAGTTCTTGGAGTACCTAGGGATGCAAGTAGTGAAGATCTGAAGAAAGCGTACCGAACTTTGGCATTGAGATGGCATCCTGACAAAAATTTGGATAATGTCAAGGAGGCACAGGAACAATTTCTCTTCGTACAGCAAGCATACGAAGTATTATGTGATCCTCAAGAAAGGGCATTCTATGATAAATATAGAGAATCAATTATTCGTGGTTGTCATGGTGGTGATGGCTACAAAGATGACAGCCTGGATGTTTTCCCGTATTTTTCATCGGCATGTTTTAAAGGTTATGGAGACGATGATAGAAGTTTTTATTCTGTTTACAGAGAAGTATTTAATAAAATTGCATCGGAAGATTCTGAATTTATTGAAGATAGTGACTTTGAAGTACCTTCATTTGGAAATTCAGTAAGTTCTTATGAAGATGTTGTACATCCATTTTATGCTTATTGGCAGAGTTACTCCACAAAAAAGTCATATGCTTGGCTTGATCCCCATGATATCAGAGAAGCTCCGAATCGAAGAGTTTTACGTTTGATTGAAAAAGAAAATAAGAAAGTTAGGGATAAAGCAAGAAAAGAACGAAATGAAGAAATCCGTAATCTTGTGGCATTTGTTCGAAAGAGAGATAAACGTGTTCAGACATATATAAAACTTCTTGAAGAAAAGGCATCTGCCAATGCCAAGAAATCTGAAGAGAAACGTAAACAACAATTAAAAGAAAAGCAGGCTGCTCTTAAAGACTATAAGGAGTCGGAGTGGTCAAAATTTTCTAATGTGGAGCGTGAGCTTAAAGAAATAGAGGCCAGAATGGCAGCTGAATTCGGAGACAGTGAAGCTAGTTCGGAAGAGGATGATGACAGTGATAGTTTGAGAGATGAAAGTAAATCTCAAAACATGTATTGTGTAGCTTGTGATAAAATGTTTAAAACAGAAAAAGCATTTGCCAATCATGAGAATTCTAAGAAACATAAAGAAAATGTAGAACTTTTGAAAAATGAAGTGACAATGAACGAATTGAAAGTAGGAGGAAATAACATGGACAATGGTTGTATAAATCTTGATAGTGGAAGAGATGAAGTTGAAGATGATGATCAAGATAGTGATGTAGAGGAGGAAGTGGAAGTAACAGAATCAAAAGCGAAGAAGAAAAAGAAACGGAAAAGTAAACTTGTTAGTGCAATGGTGAATAGTGAAGACTCGGATTCAAATATTGATTTGACATTTGCGCAATCTAAAAAACAACGTAAGAAACAGCAACAGTTAAAACAAGTAAAATCTCAAAACAATGGTATGGGTAGTGAACAAGGTGTTGATGCCAGTGGATCGGATACGGGTGATGGTGACATGAGTGATATAGAAGATGCTGATGATGAATCTGTATCATTGTCATCGAAGAAAGGCAAGAAACCAAGAGATCCAGGGGAGTCAAAATTACCAGTAATGGAAACTGGTGTAAAAGGTGAAAATGTAGATGAAGGAAGTTGGGATGATTCCAGAAGTAGAAAAAAGAAACAAAAAGAAACTAAAAAGGTCAGTTCTAGTGACATGGGTAAATTAGAACATGAGCAAGGAGATAGTGCAAAATTAGAAAGCAAAAGTAAGAACGTTAAAGAAATAAGGAAAAAAACAAAGAAGGATGTGGATCCTGGAACAACAGGAGCCAAGGAGGTAAACTTATGCTGTGCAACATGCAATGCTGAGTTTCCATCTAAAAATAAACTTTTTGAGCACCTAAAGAAATCTGGACATTCTGTGTACTTGCCTAAAACCAGTGGCCACGATGATAAAAATGAAGGGAAAAGGACACGGAAACAGAAATAATGTTTTAGGGAAAATGTATATGTTCCAAATTAATTCCTGTATAAGAATAAATGTAATGATCGTTTTTCTAATGCATCTTGACAGTTTTGTTAGAAAATGGATACAATTTTCTACACAAAATGTAATAGTGTATGCAAAATGTAATGCTGATTACTTGACAAATACTTAGCAATTATGCCCATAAATTATCAATAGCTGCTTGTAAATGTGAATGGAGACTTTAAATACTTACAAAAGAAGTATGAAATTTCTACCGTATAAAGACAATATTTCATATTAAGTTCAATCTCTCAAATTATTTTTCATAATTTCGCACTATCTACTATTGATTATGTTGACAATATCATGATGTTATGCTGCCAACCAGTACTGGGATGTACATTGCATCATTTTTTTTATCACTTACTCCTTAGAATGCCCAGTGATGTATATTACATTTAATATCATTGGATTCCTCCAAAAATTTACTGCGAGTTCAATAAAAGAAAAATATACTTTGATACTTCTTCAATAACTAAAAAACCTAGGGCCGTGAAAGTTTTTCTATAAGAACCTGCCCTTTTTATTCAAAAATTAGGCAGCAAGGGCCAAATTTTTTCTTACCATCATGAAGAGCAGAGATTTTACTTTTATTTAAAGTATTTTTTTTTGGGGGGGGGGGGTACTGTGGTCGGTAAAATGAACATACCACTTCATTAGTAATTGTACATTAAGATATGCAAAATACACTGCCAATGTGGATGGGATATTATTATTAACCAAATTTATTATAAATTATCACAGTTCTGAGTCAAAGTTTGTTTTCCCAACTTGTCACACAGGAATTTGTAGGAAGTCCTTTTTTGTCATTATTTTTCCTTCCAGGAGTCATTCTTTTACCTAAATACACATCAACTTCTAGAAACTATTACCTGGTTTAAGAAGGCAGAACTGACTTTATTTATGAGGATTATGAATTTGTTTATATTTCTGAACTCCAATATATCATATTGAGCTCTGGGGAGTGCTAATGCGTAGTAATATTTAGATTAATGGTTGGATGCTGGTAATCCAATTCTGGTAAGGGTTTCCAAATTTTGAAACTTAAATATTCAGCTTCCAAATTTGTTATATAGTAAAAAATATGATCTGTTATTTTCATTTGGATGATATTGATTGTTGGAAATGAATGAGAAACATAATTTTGAAGTGTATGAGAAACTCTGTTGGTAATCATGTGCAATTGTGTGATCAGTCTCAAACTGGTACATTGACCAATAATAATTATACTAACTTCTTGTATTTTGTATGCAAATGCAGTAGAACCCGTTATTCTGAACTAATTGGGGATGTGATCTGTTTAGGTTACCCGAAAAATATATTGTACATATAGAAATACGTCTCTAAGATTACCAGATGCAGTGCAACATAGCATGCGAGGTGAGAAAATGGCAACGTAGCGTAGCAATCCCATCATCAAGCAGATTGTTACTTACGGCAAATGAAGATTACCGATTTTGCAAGTTCCTCTGCATGAAAATTACTGATACATAAACATGTGATATACACTGGAGTTATCAGTATAATAAACGTTCCATATTGACAACATGTTTCAGTAAATTATGTGTTCAGTTCTACTGTAATTATAAAATCCATTTTTTACGCTACAAATAAGCATTTTATTTTGTTAATTTTTTTCTCTGTACTGAATTTTGTTCAAATTATCCAAAATTTTGGATTAGCGGGGTTCCACTGTAGTTAGAAATACAGTATTTGGTTTGGTCAGTTACGCTGCAGGGCTAGTGAAAATTTATCCAAAAATCATACATTAATGTTGTTTGAGCCTTTTTGTAAGAAGCGCGTTGGGAGGTTGTCAGTTATATATTCATTGCTTTTTTTTTTTTACTGTCATAAACACGTGTAGTTAATTATCTTCATTTACTCTTATATTAGACAAGTTTACAAGCTCTAGTGACTTGTTTTTATCTGGCTATTATATTATTGGATCTCCTAAAATTGATAAAGTTTTAAAATTTGAAACTTAAAAAGTATGAAATTTCAGTCAAGTGTATTGTTTACAAGTACAGGAAAGAAAAAAGAAATTGCCTTCTACTTCAGTGGCATTTGAGCATTTTTCTAGGAATCTGAAAACTGTTCTTTCTAAAAACTATTTCATTTTATCTGTGTTGATATATTGTAGTTAAGCTAATTAAGCTTGAAACATTTCTTCAGAAAGGTCTCTTTTTTATGAATGTTTGGACTGCAATTAAACATAACGGTAGTTTTCAAAATAGTGGTAGGGTCTAATCCTCTTTATAAAGTTATTGCTGTTAGCTATGACTTTTGTTAGAAAAATCCAGTTTGGTTATGGCTGTCCAAGGATTGACATAATTTACATTTATGTAATGTTTGTTTTCCTTTTGTGGGTGAAGGTCAGCACTTGCTTAGCTCCCAGTGATTGTTACTTAAGTGTGGAAACCTATGAACTTGGGAAGATGAAATGTTTGAACCCTACAATAGTCATTTCAGGAAAATTAAAATGTATAGAATTTCAGACTAATATAAGCAATTTTTTTAAAACTTAAAAGTAAAAACAAAAATTAACCACATGGTTTCTTTTTATTAGGGCATTTTTATTCTCATTAACCTTGATTTTGTTCATTGTTGCAACAAGTAGTACTACGTTTATACTACTTTTCCTACGTTTGTATTACTTTTACAATAATTGTGCTTTTTATTAATTTCATTCATGGACTTTTCTGCCCGCCAGAATCCTTGCCGGTATTGACCTCGTTCTCATTCATGGGTTCATCTGTATCATAAATCTAAGTGCTGGAGATGAATTAACTTTTCTGTATTTTATAATTTAAACTTCAAATATTAGCTGTATTTTGAAAGGCTACACTGGAAATCGTGCCAAAAACTGACACAGCATTAACGATTTTGGCGTTAATAGGGATGACTATTGACGTTTTCGTTGCGATACATATATTTGATCTAGGACCCAAATGTTTTGATGCGAGTTTAAAGACGTTTCACGAAAGACGAAACTGTTACCGCGGGCACCAGAAAACGTGTTTTAATAAAACAAATGCTTTGTCGTGTTGAAGGTTTCCGTTCAAAGGGCTGTGAATAATTTTGGTCCCTATATATAAACGATTGAGTGTGTTGTACTGGGGTATCGCGATATAACCGTCTCGAACGCTGCCTCTCGTAGCTTCATTGTTTTTGTTTTGTTTTGATATAGGTCGTCCCAACAAGATATTATAACTTGATGATTAAGAGCACGAGCTCAGGTAAAGTTTTTACTAAAAAATGGATCAGAATTTCATTGTAGGCCCACAACTTTGTTGGTACGAAAAAAAATTGGGAATCCTTTATCATTGTTTCTCATGGACAGTGGACCTATTCGTAGATGGGGTCACGTAACAGTCATTTTAGTGAAAATAATTGTAATAATTATGTAAGTAAAATTTTTACATTAATGATTGAAATAGTATTAGTGTTGATCCATGTGGTGCAGTTGTGTTGTCCAATAATTTTGGTTGCCAAATAATGTCCCCGGCATTAATGGCCTTTTTCAACAGGACTCTGTGGAATATTATTTTTATTTTATATGTATTTGATATTTCGAAAAAGGTGTCATCCATAAATAACTATGCAGATTTAGATGAATTTGGTTACCCATCCCTTCAGTAACATGTTTAAACCCCGTCAAGAATTCTGTATTGCTGGTGAAAAGTTTCCCTTTTATTTATAAATAAAAATAAATTATATAATTAAATAATGAAACAATTTAACTTAATAACTTTTTAATGTTATGTTGTATATGATTGAATTAAAAGAATATCTAAATATTGAAAAAAGACAAAAGAAATATCAGTGTTATGTTACACTAAGCTAAGAACCCATGTAATGCTGCCTCAACCTCCCTTCTTTTTGATGTTACATAACTTTTAGATGACCCCCAAAGTTAGCAGATAGTCTTACAGAACAAAATATTTATTGTCCAGAAATTGTATTCTCAATTGTACGTTAGTGTCTGCACTGCAATTTTGAGTACTAAATAATAATACACTGATACATGATAAGATACTCAATACTTTTTTAAATTTCAAAATATCAAACTCACTGTTTTGGGATTGTCAAAAGGAAAATTTTGAAGAAATTTCTTCATTTATGAGTCTCCCATTCTGCTATTCAATTAATAAGGGAAAGCTCTATTGATCCTCCTGGTCAAGTTAGTATATCTTCTAGTGACGAGATGTAAACTTGCCTCTACAAATACCCCTGAGTTACATGTTAGTTCCTGTTGTGAAATAGTGTAGCTGTTAATTTCAGTGTGATATTTCTTTTTTAATTAATGGCAATTTTTAACAATGATCTAACACATCAGACAAATTTATTACATGTGTAAAATGTAAGATGTGATGTTATTTATCTTGGGTTCTTGATGATGGTAATATAATAAGAGGATAAATATCACTTCAAAATTAGTTAATGTCTTGAAGATATGAGAATTTTTTCAATAAATTATAAAATAATTTAGGAACTTTTTAGGAAAGGAGAAAATAGGAATGCCAGGTGCTAGAGTAGTTCTTATATTAAATTATCTACCTTTTGGTGTACAGGCTACTGATTTTCAAGACTGAATGTCAACATTTAAATTTCTTAATAATAATAATAATAATAATAATAATAATAATAATAATAATAATAATAATAATAATAATAATGTGTTAAAATAATTATGTTTTTTTCTTCCCATTTCTTTCTCTTTATTTCTTATTTCTCTTTCTCTGTCATTCTTTTTCTCTCCTCACTTTCTCCCTCCTTTCTCCTTCTCACTTTCTCTTGCTTTCTCTTTCTTCCTTTTTCTTTTTCATTCTCTCTCTCTCTTTTTCATTCTCACTCTCTCTTTTTCATTCTCACTCTCTCTTTTTCATTCTCACTCTCTCTTTTTATCATTCTCACTCTCTCTTTTTATCATTCTCACTCTCTCTTTTTATCATTCTCACTCTTTCTTTTTCATTCTCTCTTTTTCTTTCTCTCTTTTTCTTTCTTTCTCTCTCTCTCTCCTTTTTCTTTCTTTCTCTCTCTCTCTTTCTTTTTCTTTCTTTCTCTCTCTCTCTCTTTTTCTTTCTTTCTCTCTCTCTTTTTCTTTCTTTCTCTCTCTCTTTTTCTTTCTTTCTCTCTCTCTCTTTCTTTCTTTTTCTTTCTCTCTCTCTCTTTCTTTCTTTTTCTTTCTCTCACTCTCTCTTTCTTTTTCTTTCTCTCACTCTCTCTTTCTTTTTCTCTCTCTCTCTCACTCTTTCTTTTTCTCTCTCTCACTCTCTTTCTTTTTCTCTCTCTCACTCTCTTTCTTTTTCTCTCTCTCACTCTCTCTTTCTTTTTCTCTCTCTCACTCTCTCTTTCTTTTTCTCTCTCTCACTCTCTCTTTCTTTCTCTCTCTCTCACTCTCTCTTTCTTTCTCTCTCTCTCACTCTCTTTTTCTTTCTTTCTCTCTCTCTCTCTCTCTCTCTCTCTCTCTCTCTTTCTTTCTTTCTTTCTCTCTCTGTGTGTCTTTGTCTTTTTCTTTATTTCTCTCTGTGTCTTTGCCTTTTTCTTTATTTCTCTGCCTTTTTCTTTCTTCCTCTCTCTCTTTCTTTCTTTTTATTCTTACTATGCTTCTTCTGCCTGAATAGAAAATAAGTTTTTGAGGTACCAATAACTCTAACCTGGTGGTCCTATGAAAATATTAAAATTCTGATGCAAGTTTAAAAAAAAATTGCAGTTTGGACCACACACATTTTCTGGTAGTTTTATTTGTGTCTTGCAAAATGTTGTGTCAAATAAAACTTGTCAGGATGTTGAAGGAAATCGCCTAAATTTAAATGACTTTCAGTAAAGAAAACAGATTTAAGCTGGAAAAAACATTGTAATGAAATAAAAAAAATTGCAATTCTTTTGGTTGTCATATGTATAAATGTTTGTTATTGATAAAACAGTACACTAATGTTGAAGATCTTAATGTATTCATTGTTTTCTGTGTGTAATGTGTGAAGTCGATTGTTATACATGAATATACGTGTGCAATTATTCAACCGAATTGTCCTGATTGTCAAATCAGTCTGGGAGTAATGTTAGTCACATGTGTACTTGTGTGTTGAATTGTAGAACAAAAATTAACCTTTGTGGTTAATGAAGTTCACTGTAAAAGTAATCATTTTCAACAAATAAGTTTTAATTTTTTATTTTATTCTGTGACTAGAATGGAAATAAATGAAGTTTTTATTATGGAGTATTGCATGGAGTTTGTAATAAGGTAATGGATTCTGAATTTTGTTGGATAGCAACCTCAAGGCATTATCCACTTACCTTTGAAGAAAAAATTACAATGGAATGAAATTAACAATAATTTTGTGATGATCAGCCAGTCTTCAAATAATGAAGTTTCAGTTATTTTTTGTAACTACTATAATTTATGCAAATAATTATTTGTTTGTGAAGCAAAGGATACTTTTGACTTAGGAACAGTTATTTAAAATCTCGTTAGCAACATGAAGTAGCAATTACTTCGTGTTGATGGAATGTACTAGAGTACAAAAAGTTTGAATGTGTTCATAAGGCATTAAATATGTCTTATCTGACAGAATTATTATTTTTTTTATATATATTATTATTATTATTATATTATGATATATATTTGGCATGTCCATTTGACTCAGTGTGCATTTTCCTTTATTTTGTGTATAAATGAATTGAAGCGAGGAAAAAACTGGTATTAAAATTTCAATAATTTTTTTTTTTCTTTTTTTCAAGAAAATTGTTCTTCTTGTGTGTTGTGGTAATTTCTTTAATTTCATTAAATAGTAATATCTAAAAAATTTTCTTTTCTAATTTGTAAAAATACTTCTAACATTAAAGTGAAATTTAAAAATATTTTGGATATCGCCTGATGGAAAAAGAACAATTCAGAAATGGTTGTTTGTAGTTATTATTTTTCAAATGTATACATCTTGATGTTATATGAAAAACAGGTTTAGAAGTATCTTATGGAAATGTTATATCGTATAATATTTTCCATGTGTCAAATAAGATCATGAGATAGCAGATTTTTCATTTTGTAAAGTATTGTGGTGACAAATACAGATTAACTGTCATTTATTTTAATTTCAGATAAATGTTTGTATAATTGTTTTACTCTATGTCCAAAAAGGCAGATGTATTCTTAAACTTTTGTCTGTATTAGACATCGGTGTATCGCATTAAAAAGACTGTAATTAAAATGGTAACATGTGCTTATATTATCATTCCTTGATTCCTAAAAGCATCCTGTAATTTACAGTGAAAGGCGAAATTGTCTTCATTCGTGTATTTACTTCTGTGGCTAAAATTAACTATGTCTGTATTGAAACCTACACTATTGAAGAATATAGATCTTTGCACAATCTTCAATTATACATTTTGTACCCTAAAAACAAGTAACATTCTAAGCTGCTATGAGTGTTAGTGTTACAAATGATAATGAAACATAAGCACATCAATTTCTGCAAAAGAATTGTGGCTCACTTATTGCAAAACCTTGAAAGAGAGAGAACAGACAATGTAGTTGAGGAATATGAAGAATATATAACTGTCTCAAAAATCATATGATTAAAATATAACAAATTGTAGGAAGCACAACAAAGTTGTAAAAATAGAAAATACCATGGAACAGACAATATTAATATAGAGCAATTTAAATTCCTGCCAGAAAAAGTGTACCACCAATTATTTACATTTAATAAATCAGTGCTAGCAGCAACAAAAAATATCAATTGAATGTGTGAGACTAATAACAGCCCCTATCTTGAAAAGAGGTTCATGAACAGACTGTGAGAACTACTGGGGAAGAAGATTGTTGAACCCAGCAAGCAAAATATACTAGGAAATAATTGTAAATAGGTTGAGGAACATTATAGAAAATATCTTGTTAGAAGAACAAATAGGATTTTGGAAAGGAAGACCTTGCTCAGACAATATGTTCTTACTTGTCTATTAGAAAAGGAATTTGAAGAACCTGCATTGCTTTTATTGATTTCAGGAAAGCACACATTTCATCAGATGTGAACTGTGGAATGTAATGCAGAAAAGAGGAATACCACTATATCTAATGAAAGTTATTTGTAATATGTGTGAGGGTTCACAGATGATTATGGAACTAAGCTGGGGAAGTATCTTTTAGAAGAAATGATTAACAAGGCGTTAAACTAGGGTGTTGTATTTCACCAATAATTTTTAATTTAAATCTGTAAGGGAACATACAGTTTGTACATTTTAATGTTGAAGAAAACTACAAAGGGACACATTTTATTAAAGCTCTTTTGTGTGCAGATTAGTTGCTGGCAATGAAGACAATTACAGAGAACTTTTAACAAATTGAATAAAACAGCAAATTTTGACAATTTGCTTTTATTTACAAGCACAACCAAGTCCATGGATTTCCAAAGTTCTCATTCCATAAGATGTGACTTTAGAAGATATGGTAGTTTAACAAGTTAATACTTTTAAATTTTTGATTGGACCTATTATACATTACATACATACATTATTAATTGGGCCTATTATACATTGGTAAACTTGATATTGAAAGAATGATCAAGAGATTCAAGTATATTTGTGGCACTTATAAAGGAACACTTGTAAGTAAAGTTTGCAAAGAAATTGTGAAATTAATAAAATTCTACATAATTACGACAGTGCCATGTGGCCTAAAGAGAAATGAAATCTTAATTCGTTAACCTACAGCAGAGTAGGGTTACAGGCTGCTGAAATGAGATTTTTGAACTCGATCTTAGGAAGAGATATTGAAAAATGAGACTATCTGGGCAAACCTTGGAATTTATAAACACAATAAAAGGAATTAAAGCGTATAGAAAGAAATGGAATGATCATGTGTTACAAGGATTGATAATAATTGTATTTCTAAGCAATATCTCTTCTACAAACCTCGGGCAAAGAAGCAGCATTGATCGATCCAAAAGAAGATACAGTGTTTGAGATTGACTAACAGGTGTAATGCTTAAAAGAGAAGAAGTTTTTTGTATATTGCATTTTACAATTTGATAACATTGTAAGATTGACATCAGGAGCATATGTCTGCAATCATGTACAATAGTAGCACATGCAACATCCAAAAAGTAATGTATGTAAAAAGATATCTTCCCTGTGCATCAATGACTTCTTCATTTTTATCACTAATACCCATAGCAGCATTCCGAGGTACTCTGTTTTGGACATACTATGTGTGTAGTTATGATAGAAATATTTAGCTTTTACCATTTGATGTTCATCTGTTTTCAAAAAAAATAGTTCGATGTATGAATTTCACAAATATTTTGGTTAATATTATTTAAATTACTTGAAAAGTGTCAAATAGAACAACCCTTGTAGTTCGTACGAAATTTAGTTCCTGCGTAGCATTAAGAAGAAAGGTAGTATTTGTGTAGAAAATAATTATCTCAGGATATGATTATGTATACTTACATATTAGCACTTACCTATGAATGAATAATTTCAGGAATTTTTAATGTTCTATCCTTCTAGAAATTTGCAGTATTCCTCTCATACCACAATATTTTGCTTTTGTGATGATTTTTAGTTCCACATAGATAATATATTAAGATTAATTTTATTAGCAGTTTTACATAGAGTGAAATTGAGTGTGATGTCTTGTTTATATCCTTACAAATGATGAAACAATAATTCAGTTGTCATGAAAGCTGTAATGTGAAGCCATATTATCATTTGGGG